GGTGGCCCCCACGTGGCGGCAGCCGGGCTGGCCTGGGGCTGGCAGGAATGTGTCCCAGCCCTCGCAGGCTTGGTCTCTCCCCCGGTGTCCGTCTGCGCGCTCATCTCTCTCTCTGTGTCTCCTCGCTCCCTCCTTCCGCCAGAGCGGGCCGCGGGCCTGTGCTGCCGCCTGGCCGTGCCCTGCCACAGGGGGATGCCCAAGCTGGCAGACCTGTCTGTCAAAACCAAAGACGTGTGGGAGATCCCGCGGGAGTCGCTGCCCTCGCAGGCTTGGTCTCTCCCCCGGTGTCCGTCTGCGCGCTCATCTCTCTCTCTGTGTCTCCTCGCTCCCTCCTTCCGCCAGAGCGGGCCGCGGGCCTGTGCTGCCGCCTGGCCGTGCCCTGCCACAGGGGGATGCCCAAGCTGGCAGACCTGTCTGTCAAAACCAAAGACGTGTGGGAGATCCCGCGGGAGTCGCTGCAGCTGATCAAGAAGCTGGGCAATGGGCAGTTTGGGGAAGTGTGGATGGGTAGGACTCTCCAGGCGAGCGGGGGCTGAGCCGGGAGAGGGGAGGAGGAGAAGCCCAGGGCCTGCACCCAGCCGGGGCCGGGGGAGACATGCCGAAGACTGGATCCAGCAAGGGCTTCCCGGGGACAAGGCAGGGGGTGGCTGTAATCACCCGCTGCAGGGAGTAGCAGGGCTTGAGACTTCTGCAGGGTGAAATGAGTTGGCTGGGTCTCAGCCTACTTCCCGGGGGACGCGTTGGCCCACCTGGTTAGCAACCTCAGCAGGGCTGACAGCCGCGGGGACTGAAATCCCTTCTCGCCCCTCGGGCTGGGCTGGCGACTTCCTTGCTGGGCCTGGTCTGTGGGTGCAAGGTGGGGGCTTCCGTCCCAGGACTCTCTCCAGCATGAGCAATTAGCTTTCAGTGGTGTTGTACCTTCCGCAATCAGGCTTGTTCCTGCTAAACAGCCGGGGCGTTGCCCTTGGATCCAGCCGGCTCTAGTGCCTCCCTGCCCCCGTGGTTGGGAGCTCCTGATCGCCTGCTCTGGGATGCTCTGTCGGAGTCTAACAGCTGTCTGCTGGCTCCAGGGCCCAGGACAATGAATTTGTGGAGAGAGGGAACAAATCAATGAATCCAGACTCCTCTTGGTTTCCAAGCCGGCCGCCTGGCACTGCCGTTGGCTCCTGGCCCTGCCCACTAAGCAGCCAGACCTGGCTCAGACAGCCGGTGAATTCCCTCTGGGCAGCTGTAAGATAACATAAGAGCAGCCATACTGGATCCGACCAAAGTCCATCTAGCCCGGTATCCTGTCTGCTGACAGTGGTCCATATCAGATCCCCCGGAGGGAGGGCCACGAATGCTAGTACTGTATTCCCATAAGTGTGACAGCAGCCAGCCTTCAGCTCTGCTGAAATGTCATGCAGATCTGTCATGCGTGACTGGTCCTGGTTATTAAACCAAGGACAGAAGCCCACATGGGCCTGCTGTGGGACGTGGGTGGGGGCTGCAGGGCAGATCCATGCCTGGCCAGACCCTGCCCCTCTGGTGCCCTGGCAGGACAAAGCAGCTTCTGCTCAGGTCCCACGCGTCCCAGGAACGCAGGTGAACAGCGCCAGCTGGTGGGCAAGTCAGCTTCCACCATGGCACCAGAGCAGGCGATCAGGCAGACCCTGGGTTTACCCTCCTCCCGCCTCCTCTCAGCCGTTGTGCATGTGCATGCAGAATTCATCCCCTTCTCCACCCCCGCCCCTCTCTCCTGCCCATCATCCCATCCCCTGCAGAGTTCAATGACGGTCTGTGCCATCTACTAACCCAGCCATGCCCCACTATGAAGCCCCAGACTCTGGGACTCTCTAAAGACGCGTGGGAAATAACGCGGGAGTCCATAAGCTTGGACAAGAAGCTTGGCATGGGATGTTTCGGAGACGTGTGGATGGGTAAGGGGGGCATGGGGTGAGAGCGACCGGGGAGGGGGGATTCCCTCTGGTCCCACCAGAGCCACAGGTTTTGATAATCTCTGTGTGGGCAGGAATGGGGGGGGGTCTCTGTCAGATGTGTGGAGGGGGCCTTGGGGAAGTTTCTTTC